CGAGCTTTGGCCAATAGCCTTTGAATCATCCCTCTAGAGAGTCACCGTCTTCTACCTTAGAGAATTTTGTCCATAGAGACGTTTTGACTTCCAACAGAACTCATACCTTCAACCAGAGACCATCTGCGAGCAGACTGATTCATCTAGGAACATCTTCAGGCTTCTATCCTGCAGTTCTGAGTGTTGTGGCGTGCAGATCTTGAAAATTATAAGCAACCAACWCTCCACCCAGAACCTGTATCAACCTTTCAATGGTTTTTGCGTTCCAGAGTTTTAAGAGGAGACCTATGAGCTTGATCGCAAGATTTTCTACTGAGATGGGGATCTAATTACAGGACATTTGCCAGACCTCCACCTTTGCCAAGCCATTTGGAGGGTCCACCATTTCAGCAGTGGAAATCTCAATGTCTTCGTCAACTCCAAATAACACAGYCTTTGAGTCATCAAAGGGCTTGATACTCGCAGGGCCCATTAATCTAAATCTCTGCAGAATCGCCTCCAAGATCCTTCCCCAATCAGTAACTCTTTTATCTGATGATAGGATCACATTCTTCTTGCAGGCTCCTTTCTCCAGTTCCAAGAACATCCTCTGGCTTCTGGTAGTGCTACAGATGATAGCTTGTGGGAATACTTTTTTTTTTTAATTTTTACTCCTTCAACTGTTCTCTGTAACTTTGCCCACTGTACCATTGCAGATTTTTGGAGTTTGTATTTCTTCCAGAATGAATAGAATTCCTGTAATAAGTCTGCAGACAAGCACCACCCTGTTCTCTTTCTTCCTTCCGGTACACACAACAACTGTCTTCTGTTATCATCAATTGTTTCTACAATTTCCACAAACCCACCCTTCACATTCCTCTTCATTTCCGCTTCAAATTTTTTATCAACCACTCTCATTGTACTTTTGCATCCTTGTTTTTTAATGGAGAATGCTGTTCCATCCATAAAACCCTTAAACCATCCAATCACCTCTTGAACTACTAATATGGTAGCTCTCTTTTCCTCTCTGATTTTTAACATCCACCTTCCATTGTTTCTGTCTTATTCAAAACAGAACTTCTTAGCTTCAATATCCACTTCTCTCCTCCATTTCACTGTTGAGGAGAGCTATTCTTCGTAACTATTTCTCTTCTCCATTTCACTCTTCTCATGCATCATCAAAGACAATTGAATTGTTTCTTAGGAGCTGGAAACCAGGGGTCTTAGCAAGCAAGGGAAGATTGTATGGGGTATGGTCCCATTTGCTGTCTTTTTGCCCATTCTATCACTAGTTCCCATATGCTCTTTGCTAACATTTGCATCCAAGAATGCCAGCCAAGTCTTCAATATTCTCCACTTTTTCTCAGGTTTACTTTCAGCCGAGATACAGCTTCAAACCATACCAATACCTCTTTGAATTGATGCAACTGATTTGGGTCTGCCAGGAAGAAGAGTAGGGTATCATCAGTATATTGTAATAGCGTAACCATTTTTCCTTGATCCCTTACTTTGAAACTGTGCAATGCCCCAACCTTCACTGTTCCTTTTGTAATAAGAGGTAGTGCTTCTATCATGCAAATGAAAAGTAACAGGGACAAGGGATCCCCTTGTTTGAGTCCCCTAGAGCTGCTGAATAAGCCCAATAATTCCCCCATTTTATATAATTGAGAATTTTGAGTTGTCATTCAAACTCTCCTCCATTTTCTGCCAAGATGCATCTGCTCAACTCTATTCTTGGCAATTCATCAAAAAAAGAAGAAAAAAAGAAAAAAACTCTAATAGTGCAATAAACCGAATCTTACAAGAGAGAAGAGTAGAGGTGCTAAATAGAACATTAGAGAATAGGCCAGTTATAGTTGGCTGAACCAAACAAAGAAGCAAGATCCTCATTATATTCAGAAATTTTGTGCTTAATTTAAGAGAATTAGTCAATTATACTTTGATATTTTGCTTTTAGTATAATGCTATTGCTTGTTCAGGTAGAGGCTAAATAGCGAGGAAAGGTAGTCTCAACTCCTTTTGTCCTTTAATTTGATCTTTAACATTTACAAAGGGGTTTTCTTAGGGAGGGTGTGGGTGGAGGGGGGCTCCAAGAAGTTTCACTTGGTCAAATGGGATAAGGTGTGCAGACTGAAGGAGGGAGGGGTTTGGGGGGGTTAGAAGAGTGGGATCTTTTAATAAAATGCTACTTGGGAAGTGGTTGTGAAGGTTTGGGTTGGAGAAGGATAGGCATTCGTTGTGGAGGAGAGTGGTGGTGGGGTAGTATGGGGTGGTGAGGTCTGGTTGGGAATTGAGGGATGCTAGATCATCTTATGGGGTTTGTGTGGAAGGGTATTACTGAATTAGTGGTGTCCATGGCTTTACAGACTATCTGATCATGATATCACCATCAGCCAGTGCTATGAAAGCTGTGGGGATCAGCTGGTATGGTGTCCAATGTTTAGGAGTAGTCATAAGGTTTTGGGAACATGAGTGGAGTGGGGTGGGTAAGCTGAATGAGTTGTGTCCAAGTCTTTACAGACTATCTGGTCATGATATCACAATCAACCAGTTCCATGAAAGACGTGTGGATCAGCTGGTCTGGTATCCAAAGTTTAGGAGACCAACTGCTTGAAGAAAAGGTTGAAGAATGTTTTGATTTTCTGGAAAAGTTGGACAGAGTTGAGGTGTCAGACCATTTGAGAGATGAGCTATGGTGGAAGGAATGTTCCAACGGTAAATTTTCTGTTAAATCATTTTACTCAGCCTTATGAGAGTCRAATGGAGTTCAATCAGGCTGGAGGCATTTGGTGCAATTCTGTGCCCTGAGGGTGGAAGCTCTGGCTTGGCTTATTGCTACGGATAGTGTGTTAACTGCTAATCATATAAGAGTAGAGGATTTAGTTTAGCCAGTATTTGTTACTTATGCAAAGATTGAGAGGAATCTGTGAATCATCTATTCATTCTTTGTAAAGTGGCTGGTTTCATTCCTTGTGAGCACCTAATCATTCAATTTGGCCAGTATTTGTTCCTTCATGGATTTTCTCCATGTGGCCGAAGATTAGAGGCAGTAAGAAGGCTAATGTGTTTTGGAGCTGCATCCCATTTCCGGTTTGTTGGTGTATTTGTGTATTTAGAAGGAAAGAAATAGAAGATGCTTTGAAGACCAGTGCCGGAGTTTAAGAAGTCTATTGGTGGCTATTGGCAAGGTTTCTCCAGATTGGGTATTGTTGCATCCTGAATTTGCTCAAATAAAAAAGAAGACTTAGGGGAAAGATTATGGGAGGTTTAGAATCACAAAGTTGTGACATTGACAGTGTCTTTCTTTTTTCTTTTGATCAATAACAGAACAATTTCATTAATAACTAGAAGATACAAGATAAGAGGGGAGGGGTAAGCTCTCTTAACCCTCCCCAGCAGAAAACACAATCTTACATCACAGCCCAAAACAAGTTACCCCTTCCTACCCCTTGTTTCTTCTTCTGATGCATTGTGTGTTTCAATAGTTTCAGGTTGTGCTGTATGAGTGGCATTGTCTTGTCACCCTATCTGGATCGTACCTCCCTTTTGTTTTAATTCCTTTGAAGCTTATCACATTTATCTGGATTGTGCTCCATAAGTTGGTTCTGGAGCCTTGAGTCTTCTGCGACTTTCACTTGTAAATCCTTCTTTTATTCTCTTGTAGCTTCCTCTCCTTCACCTTCCTCTTTCCCTGTTAAAGAAATTTGGTGTTCTCCCATCCCTCCTAGAGTCGGCACTTTCTGTTGGGAAGTGTATCATGGTTGCATTAATACTTGTGATAAGCTTCAAAGGAAGAGGCCAAATTGGTGTTTGTCACCCAACTGGTGCAGCTTGTGTTAGCTCAATGGTCAGACTGCAGTCCATCTTCTAATTTCCTGTCCTTTTTAGCTTTATTTGGGAATGGTTTGCTTCAATTTTTGGTTGCAGGTGGTTCTCTCCTATCAGCTTGGAAGGGGTGCTCAACCCTTCTATTTGTAGGTGTTCTACTAAATGGGGTAAGCTGTTGTGGAAAGAAATTCTAGAATTTTTGGGGATAGGAGAGGAACAATGAAGCACTGATTGAAGTCATAACTCTAAGAGTGGCTCACTAGGTCAAGACTCTCAACTTGTTTTCAGACTTCAAGTTTGATGATTTGTTCAGGGCGTGGGGGGCTATAGCATCATCCTCTTCTAAAAGACAGATTGCAATGGTCTCCCCCCCTCTCGTGGTTGGTTAAACTGAACTTTGTTGGAAGTAGTGTGGGTAATCCCGGCCCCGCTGGAATTGGAGGTGCTATCAGGTATTATGAAGGTAATATGTGTGCCTTCTTCTCGGGCCCATTTGGGCAAAGTGGTGTTGCATCAACAGAATTCTAAGCAGCTGTCTATGGACTTGAGAAAGCAAAGGAATTGGATCTAGAGAGGCTAATTATTGAAGGTGATTCAAAAGTTGTGGAAAGAAAGGTGAAGGAGTTTCATGGCACCTAAGGAGTGACCTTAGGAGGTTCAAAAGGCTCTCAAGGGATATGTTGATTCAAATTAATAGGATTAGAAGATCGGCCAACAGTTTGGCGGATAGTTTATCCCAACAAGGGTACACAGACACTCTATGTTTTGCGCCTAGTTGTAATTTTGGGGGTTGGACAGTTGGTTTCTATTTGTAACCCTTACAACTACTTGTTGTGCATTTTTATTTAATTTAAAGAAATCTTCTTCTGAGTATTTTTTAAAAAACCATAAGTTGGTTCTAGGTTCTTTGCTTAAATTCTGTACTTGGATTTATAATTATTTACTACTGCCCAAACACTTGATATTTATTCCTAAACTTATTCTTCTAGCCATTTTCAGCCATCAAAGTCTGTGTCATATCTAATTTAGCCTTATCTGCTGCATTCTAAAACTCAACAGTTAATCTACTTTAAATTTAGTTTTTTTTTTGTGAGTTTATTCATTCATATGCTGCAAAGCAACACCATTTGCATAAAATATCCCCTTTTCTATATGTTTGTGAACTTATTTTTTGATATTATGCGATCATCTAGGCTCATCAGGAAATTTTCCACCAGCTTGTTGATCTTATTGGGATTACATCCATAATGGAGGTTGGTATTGTATCATTTATTTGTATTATGTTTCTCTTGATCTAATTGTTGGAGACACACTATGTGCCAGCCTTCGTCTTTCAAGTTTGTTTTTTTTTTTTTTTTTTCTTTCTATACCCTTTTTTCCTAGTATAAAACCTTGTATCCATACTTCTCTATATATTTCTAGAATATAATTATTACCCTTTTTCCAACTATTCAACATTATCTTCTCTTTATTTTCTTCTTTTACTAACTTTAGGAGAAACCTACCATTTTGGTATGACATTGGAGCTTGGATTCCCCCCAACTAGTAACTAATCCCAACATAGAAGTATTGGAAAAACTCATATAAGCAAAAAATCTTAAATATCCTTGATCATGAGACATATAATTGTCAGTATAAACATGAACCATACCGTTGTACAATGCAACATCATACCGTTTCAAGAAAGAAGGAAAAAAGACTACTACTCATTCAATTGTTTTATGACCTATTAATTTCTCTAAAATCTATGCCTCTTTATGTTTTCGCTTGTTGAGCAGGTTTTAATTCGTCTAATTGGTGCGGATGAACAAATGTACACGAACTACATGGATGCAATGCAGTGGTTGGAAGATACAAATGTGCTTGAGATGATTGTGGATAAGTTTAGCTCATCTGTAAGTATCATTTTCTGGTCTGAAAACAGATTCAACAACATATTTTATATACATAATTGGACACCAATTAGGAAGTATGCAATATGGGTTTGTAGTAGTCATGAAGGTTCACAATTTTAATTTTCAGGAGTATTCATAGGATATCTTGACTTTGCGTAAAATTTTTTAATTTACTGGGGCCGCTACCAATTATGAAATCTTGTGGTAGGATCAATAATTTTTTTTTGATAAATGATCAATGAAAATTTTAAATACATGGATAATACCAAAATCCTAATAAATTTAAAAAACCACATATAATGAACATAGCAAGATTAAGGAGGAAACCAAAACAGTATCCATGGTAGCCAGATCGGGTACATTGACATGGAAAAACATATAAATGTGATTTTGGTCCAGGTATCTCTCATTTCCACCAACATTTGATCAGCTTGTAATGTAAATTCTTAGTTTTCTTATTCACTCTTTTTCAGAGGCATTCTACAATGAGGGTGCTCATCAGTTTTTTTGGTAGTAGATAAAAAAGGAAATTTATTAAGAGAAGAAAAAGGTGCAATATAGATTATGAGATTTCACCCACTAAGAATGACAAAGCACCCAAGAGAAGAACCAAAACTCCCAAACCCAGAGACAAAAAAGAAACTTTGACATTGAAAATCTTAGAAAATTAACCCATAAACTTGCTTCCGAAGTGCACAGCCCCTCGGATAACTAATGCCAATATGCCCACCCAACAGAAAATCTCCCTAAACAGAAAGCCCAAAAGCTGACACTAATCATATCAAGGGCTTTCAGTATTCAGCGGGTAATGTCGCTCTAACTCCTGAAGTGCTCTTCTAGTGAATTCTTCCCTTCCTAAAACCATTAACCCAACTTCTTACTTAATTGGAGACCAGTTTCCACCACCTTTTCCACATTCACCCTTTCTTTTCCCTTCTCACCACCAACTGGGAAGCAGCTAGGTAGATTCTCAACATTAGTGTTTCTGATCAAACACATTTTTGTCTTTCAATTTTTTCTTCTATACACTCCCTTGAATTTGCTACTTGGGCCTGTACTTATGAGCCCATCTTTCAGCCTGGAGAAGACTTTGATAATGTGAATTAGATGCCCAGTATTGGTGTTCTTCGTCTTCTTAGAAATTACTGATGGATTCGACAAGGAAGTATGTTGTTTCAATTACCCAAGTTTCCTTGTTCCCTGTGTCTTTATACCAAGATCTCTTCATAATTTCCCCACAATGGCTTTTGAGAAAACTATCCCTTTTTCCTCAGAATTTTTACCAGCTCGAGTACTTACAATGTCTCTGTCAAGGGTTTCAGAACCTTGCATTGAGAGCCCAGTAGCATACGAAAAAGAAGCTGCCTCAAGCTCCCACGAGAAAGCTTCACAAAAACTGGATTTTTTGGCACCATCTCTTCTACAAACATAGGCAGTGGAAGATCAGGCTCTACCTCTTCACTGCAGTCAAACCCCAAATACTCTTGCTCCAACCCTTCCTAACCTGTGAGTGAATTCTGGCCACTTTGGTCTCTTGAAGAGATCCATCCTCAAAAAGGGAACTTTCTTGTCTGAGTTTCATACTAATTGCCTTGTGTTCTTGGTTGAACTTTGTTACCACCCATTCCCAAATCTCATCAGCATTCCTATTTTTTTGAATCATTGCCTTTGAAATTCCTCCTACTGGTCGATATTCTGCGGCCATTTGAATTCCTGGACCTCAAATACAGGGCCGTCTTACCTTTCCCAAATTGAATCTTCTCTTTTTTCTTTTCGTCAGGCCTCCCATGAGAAGACAAAGATAGACCAAAACATGGGTCTATCGAAGCAACAGGGCTTAAGCTGGTCACGTGATTCATAGCAAGGATATCTGGTTCAGTCTCTAATTCCTTCGGCCCATACCTTACCGGCCCAGTCCGAGCTTTGGGCCAACCCCCTTTAAGCCTCGATACTAAGTGAAATCTGCTTACCCCCATTGGGTTCCTTTTTTCAACAACTGACATTTGACCACCCGCTGATGGATTTGAATTTAAGATCTCCATTTAAGAGGGCTTTGACACCGTTGGGTGAAATTCAAAATTATTCAAATAGTTAGCCTTGAAAGGAAGTCGGCCCAACAATGCATTTTGGATCCATTGTTCCATTTCCACAAATATTTTCCTCTGTCCCTAGCCTTTCTTGGTCCAGCCAAAGATTTCCAGTTGGTACTCCATTTGCCAGGTCAGCTCCTTCCTCCTTCGTTCCTGTTAACCAGAATGACACTTCATCTGTGAAGATATCACTTGAATGCGGTGTGACCTCTCTCAAGTTCCCAAAATTTTCATTGTTGCTGCATGATGGTCCTGCAAGTGATAGGCCTCCAGTACTACGCAGATTCCTGCGATTTTTTTGAAGATGTTTGCCTGCCACAGGTTGAATGGAAACCCCAATATCTTGACAGTAATCATTCCTTCTGGAAGCTCCTTTTCATTACAGGAGGGTGCCCAGTTCTCCAAAGTAATCAGGCCTAGTCTTGATTCAAAGTTCACTATTTCAGCTTGGATTTCCCCCAAATCCAGAACAGCCTTTTTCTCATCGAAGGGGAAAAGCTCCGGTCTTTCCTTATGAACCTTCTCCATAATTATCCCCAGGATTTCGTTCCAATCAGTTGCTCTCTGCTTTGTTGAGACTACCTTCTTCCTTTCCCAATTGGTTTTCTTACCTCCCCCAATCAATTTGGGTACTAAAGTGGAGACCATCGGAAAATCTCATTGTTTCCCTTCACTAACCTTTTGTTGTTCCTTGCCACTGTTATCTGAGCATTCTGGTTTCCTTGGTTCTAAACATCTTATCAGAAAATCTTCTAACATTTTAGCCGTCAGCACCCAATCTTGTTTCTCCTTACCTTCTGGAATACAAATCAACTGTCTTCTTTCTCACCCATAGCTTTCTGTGAGAATGATGAACCAACCGTTTTTGTTACTTTTTTTTTCAACTATAAATTTCTTTCCTTACCTCACCAATTTGTTCCTCCATCCCTGCTTTTTCACTGTTAGGACTGCTCCATCCATGAATCCCTTGAGCAAACCTGCTGCTTCTGATCCCAATAGAACTGTTGCTCTGCTGTACTCTCTGCTTTTCAGGACTATAGCTCCTTTACTTCTTGATTCTTCCAGTAGAAATCTATTCTTCTCCAACTGCAGTTCTTTCTTCCAACGTTCTGCAAGTACGAAGCAAACCATCACATTCTTTCTTCAATGCAAGCTACCTAGAACATGCCTTGGATGGCATGCATAAGCTTCTTCAGTATTAGAGTAATAAAAGTAACATTCAATCCCAGTTTAACTTTTCCTCATTCATGAAATTTGTCAAACACCTGCAAGGTGCCAACTAGTTGGTTGGTAAGGTCACCTGCTGGTCGTAGCAGAGACTTGGGATCGAATCCCACCTGCACCGGGGTTGGGGGATGGGCTACCCCCCTGTTGTGTAGCCCTTCAAAAAGAAATAAAAAAAATCTCAAACACCTCCATTAGATAGCAGACCTTATTGAACCCTTAAACTTCCTTGCATTAGGGGCCCACAATCAGATAGGATCCACTCTAAACAATCTTAGAAAGTTAGATTTCTACAAGTGAATAAGCCTACTAGCAGAATTCGAAAAATAATTCAATATCAAATGGCTGGAACTTGTATGTTGCTTCTGAATTTTAGTTTGGTGATGTTTTTGGACCCATTTAATAGTGGCTCCAGATTCCCTATACATGGGACTCATGGTGGTTTAAAGGGGAGGGCAGCTCACATCAGTTATGGTGAAGGCACATTAATTGGGAAGGGATATACCTCTTTATCTCTGTTGTACAATAGCATCCAAGGAATTGGAGCCAGCATTCTATGTGTCACAGTAGACTCCTTGTTCAAATAATGGACTGTCATTACTCACAAACATGTAACCATCAAATATTTCGCATAGGGGTAACACCCATTCCTAGTATATGTCACATATGCAAAGTGGGATGTCACTATGTATAAATGCATCGATGCTCCCTCTGTTAAACATGAAACAAGAGAGACAGAAGCTTACCTTCTAAGGGCCCTGAAAAAGTCCTATAGTTGAACCAACTGCATTCTCGAAGTTGAAGCCCCTTCCATAAGCAGTGGAAAAGTGGAGGCATCCAGTAATCCTATATCCAGTCAGAAGGGATGCAACCTCAGYCTGTGACAAACCTAATTTCCTGATGGAACTGCTGTATACTTAAATGATGACACTTCAAGGTTCTCCATGGAACTGCAACTATGTTGCGAATTGCAATATTACTACCTGTCAGTGAAGAGAGAAGGATGGAGTGCTTCAAAAAAGTTGATTCAGAGATGACCAGCCAGAACCAGTTTCTATAAATACCTTGTGACTAAAACCCATGAAACAAGTGAGGTTATCATCTGTTCCTTTGAAAATTTAGATCCTGTTCTGTTAACAATGTCCACATGATAACGTGCATAATAGCTTTGCATAGCATCTTGTAGTTACCCCACTTCCAAGGCCTCCATTGCCATGGAAAAATCAACACCTCTCCTGGACTTATCTATTAGTACTCAATGATTATTGAAAAATGACACCACAATAGCTATAACAGGAACTGTTAAACACATTAGTATTGTTTCTTCCATTTGTCAAGCACTAGTAAGTGTGCACATGATGATAGTAAATAATATGTTTCCGAAATTTTCTCCATTTTTTTATATTTGTATACTTTTGTGTGTTTCATCTTTTTTAATTATTATTATTATTATGACATCAAGGGCTTACACATATGACCCAAAAGGTTGAATTGTTGACTCATCACCAAACAGGTGAACAACTCCATTTTTATGATGATTTTAAATTTGTATTTTATTACTATCATCAATAAAAACAATTATTCTTTATCACACTATTTTTTCTTTAATATGGTTAATTAACATAGGATCCAATATAAGAATGAGAGTTAATACCCTAAATATAAGACTTAACGAGAGGGATCAAATTCAAATTACATTTTGTGCTCTTACAATTATAGAGGGATCAAATTCAAAAACAGGGGTATTCTAGTCAAGAATAGGATTCAATGAATCATAGTTGTCAAGGCGACGCTAGGTGACGAGGCGCCCTTTGAGGCTTGCCTTGCCTAATCGCCAAACACTTTTTACTTTCTATTATAGAATACTTTTTTCTTCATTCTTTTTTGAGATTATAATCATAAAATAGACGTTATTAAATTAAAATAATCATTTTGTGTCTTATATACTAATTTCTTTTTATTATTTTCTTATTTATTAGGGTTTAATCAACACAAACATTGCTAAATGCTTTATTGAACCCTCAAAGACTTCAAAACCTGAACCAATAAGGAAGAGCTTAAAACTTTTATTTAATCAGTACATTTTCTGCTTCCATATATTCTTCTACTTCTACTTCTTCTTCTTCTACTACTACTACTACTACCAATACTTTTTCTTTTCTTCTTTTCCTATAACAAAAAGAAGGGTTCAACCCCTATATTTTTTTGAGTTTTATTTTCCTTCTTCTTTTTCTTCTCATAAACATGTTGATGAGAACTTTATACTTTTCTTTTGAAAATTATGAATAATTATTAAGGGGATATGGTTATGGTACCTAGGGAACTACCCTAGGATCTATGTTTTTAACATAAAAATTCCATTGCCTAGGCAACGCCTAGGTGCCTGCCTAGGCGACAAGGCGCCCCTCTGTCGCCTAGCCTCGCCTTGGTTCCGTGAAAACTATGCAATGAGAGGGATTTGAATGAGGAGAAAAGTGATTGTTCAAATTACATTTTTGTTAGCAATCAAATTAAAAAATTGAGGTATTTTAGTCAAACAAACAAAAGTTCCACACTCTCACTCACACTTTTAATAGTAATATAGATGTAGCATACTTCCCTCCAAATTAGGTCTTTTTGCAGATTTCTGGGTGGCTTCTTTGGATTGCTACCTTTTAATCATTGTTGATTAGAGGGAGCAGGATGTTTCTCTCCCTCTATTTCCCCATGCCCACTCAAATGGGAGATGAAAAAAGAGAGTAAGATATGCATATGGTGATAACCACATGTGGTTATGGAGTAAAACTTGGGATAATATTTTTGTAATTCGACTCATCTCAAGTAATTTTTTTTTATTATTATCTATACAGGATTCTCCCGAAGTGCATGCCAATGCTGCAGAAACACTCTGTGCCATAACTCGGTGTGCTCCTCCAGGACTTGCTGCAAAAATCTCCAGTCCAAGGTACTTTTTCATTTTTCACACCAAATTGTGTGTTCTGAGATGGTGTTAGGATATTTTACATTGTACATTCTTCCCCTTTGGGTAATAGATCTTTTTTTTTTTTTTCTTGTGTGTCTGCTTGCAGTTTTGTGGGAAGATTATTCCATCATGCATTGGAAGATTCAAGACCAAAATCTGTTTTAGTTCATTCATTGTCTGTATGCATATCCTTATTAGACCCTAAGAGGTCAGCATTAGGTCCATATCACACATACAGTCGCCAGATGAATCATGGACCAGCTATAACTGCTGATCCAGAGACGGTTGAAGGCATGTTGGGGAGCCTTGGTAAGCTACCTCTTTCTTGCTAGTTGCTATTTCCACTCCTACAAGAAAGTTTGTACTTTGAAATTCCAATGCCTAGTTTTATTTCCACTCCTGCTTCATGATGTTACCTCCAAATCTTCTAATAGCTTTTTGTAGGCAATTGAGATTGGAGAAGGTAGTAATAGTAAGGTACAATAATACAGGTATTATGCAAAGCATAGGAACTACAGTAGACCCATATGAGATTAAATGGTGTATACAAGATGTCAGTATCATAACCAGAGCATATAGCAATAGGTGATGACTCAACCTACTTGACATTGGTCACTTCCATGTTTAAGTTGTCATTTTCATGTTAGAGTTGTTCGGTACTTGATCCCTGCCATATACTAATGAGTTATGGGAAGATTTGTTGCCCCATGAAGTATGTCATGGTGAAAATTGTTTAAGATTTTGCAATCATTCTTATGCATTTTAAGACACAGAGAAGGGCAGAGATACAGATAAATGTTGCAAGAATTTAAACCTTTTATAAATTACAACAAGCCTTCTTCTGTGTGTAGTGGGTAAGTGGGTATTATTTTGATCTTTGTTTTACCAAGTTTGGATTTCAGTTGATGGATTATGCGGTTATGCCTACTATATTGATGTATGGTATTTATGCTGGTGGAAATTTGGTTCACATGTAAGTATTTGATGGTGTACCTAATATCATCTATCTTTGAATAACACCCTACAGTAATGGTGACATGGTGTTGAAAGAGTCAAGTGGACTTAATAGGGTGGTGATTAAATTTACTCAGGCAGCGTAAACAATGGGAAAAGAAAGTTATGATGGTAAAGAATTGATTTACCCCATTAGAGAATCTAGAGTGTAGGTATTTTCGGCAGGAGATATTTTGGGTCCTATTGTAATTCTTATAAGAGATACCTGTGGAATGTATGGTACAGTAGGGCAGGAGACMAGAAAAATGAGGCTGGTTTTGAGCTAAGCAAAAGGAGAAGTTTTTTTTTTTAATATCTTTTTGAAGGGGCTACACAATGGGGGTAGCCCATCCCCCCCGCCCCCCAGCAGGAGGGGATAACCAACCATCTGGTTGGCACCTTGCAGCAAAAAGAGAAACTTTCTGATTCAAAAAAGAATCAAATAAGTTGGATATTGGAAAGGTTGTAGGAGTTGGGGTTTAAATGCATGACGAATCAAAGAAAATGATATCTGCATGAGGAATACCTGGGTAGGATGGGTGATTTGCCTCAAGAACTTATCTGTAGCTCGCAATCAAGATCCCTTGAACTCAGAATCCTTAAACATATTGAATGTTGATTTTCTATAGTAATTTGTGTTTCATAATCACTGAAAGTGGAATGCAAAACAAAACCTTGAAATATAGGTGGCTTAGGATTGGCTGCATCTATGCTGGACAGTGACTTAGAAAGTTCTTCTTAGATTGCTAAATACACATGCAGAAAAGGGTGGGTTGGGGCCAGTCTCTGGGTGTGATAATTGATAAGACTGGTCAGGAAATGGGGGTGTGGTGTGGATGGAGGGAGTGGGTTCGTGTCTGGTACTTCAATCACAGCTGTCATCAGCAGTGTTGCCAACCTTGTATTGAAGTATTCTCCAATTTATAGTTGCCACCTGCACTTTTATTTTTTTAAGTTGACACTTTCCAATAAAAGGTATTTTGCCTTTTGGGTTGAGTTTCTTTTTCATGAATGAAGGGTGAGAGGGAAATACAGAGACTCTTTTTGAGATCCAAACTAAGTTGCTACCTGGAAAAGTTCTGTCTCCTACAGAGAAGCTTGAAAAGAACCACCTTTTCTTTCTGTAAAATTATGTAACAGCTCTGTTTTCATTTCAAATATTGTTTACTCTCTATTATTTGACTTCTTGCAGGTGATTTACTCAAGCTTTTGGATGTCTCATCTGCCAATAATGCATTGCCAACAACTTATGGGAAATTGCAACCACCTCTTGGAAAACATCGTTTGAAGGTTTTTGCATCTTACATTCTTGGCATTTTATTTATTTACATGTGGTGGTATATTGTATTTATGATTCAGTTAGTAGATCCTTTGTAAATACCATTATTAGGAATTTGAATGTCTCAAGATCATCATCGATATCATTATCATCATCGTCATTATAATCCTGTTTTTTCATTCCATTCTGTTTAGTGCCATATCCATTGTTAAATTGTGAGTAGCTCAAGCTATATTCCTTTTTTCATGATAATCATCATTTAGCTGACATTAAGAGAAGAAATTTAAGGTGGGTGAAATCTAAATAAAAGCAGCTGGTTGTTATTTTATCAGTAAGAGAAACACTATTTTAATCCTATAGTCTGATTATAAAAGAATATGTAACTCTTCAGATTGTGGAGTTTATCTCTGTCTTACTGACAATTGGGAGTGAAGCTGCTGAGAAGGAATTGATTCGACTAGGAGCCATACAACGCATTCTGGATTTGTTCTTTGAGTAAGCTACATATCTGAGTATTCTATATATTTACAACGCAAAAATTCCTAGTCATTATTCTATGCTTCTCATGATGACTGTAGGTACCCATTCAATAACTTTTTGCATCATCATGTTGAGAATATTATAATATCATGCCTGGAGAGCAAGAAACCTCCACTTATTGAACACCTTCTTCAAAATTGTAATCTTGTTGGTAAAATACTTGAAGCAGAAAAGAATTTCACATTGGCAACTGATCCTAACAAGGTAATCACCTCTACATGTACTTTTCATCACGTCTCTGGTGTCTCGTTTCCTGTCCCTGTTGGTTTCTGGGATCTGAAACCAACAGGTTCTGCTGGTTGCCTGTCTTAAGTGTGTTTCAAACATGCAACTATTTGGTGGCATATTTCTGCAGCCGACAGTTTCTGCTGAGGGAAAATCATCACCAAGGATCGGGAATATTGGACACCTCACACACATATCGAACAAGCTCATTCAAATGGCAAATAATAACAGTCAAATTCAGGCGCATCTGCAGGTTAGATGCCTATATCCCTACAAACAAATTCTTCTATTATCTGCATAGAAAATTACTAAAAGTGAAGCACTATTCTGGTTTCTAGAGAACTGTTGAAGCTTGAAACTGGAATTAGATAATTAATTTTCCCTGACAAATGCCATGTTATTCTAATGAAACTCACAAGTTAAATATATGTCTGTACATTTTCTTTCCTTTGACTCAAGTCAAAGTCTCATCCTATCCAATTGGATCACTTGATCAAATCCTGTTCCACCATTGTTCTCTACGTTCTTATTTTCTGGTAAAATTGTCATTTCTAAAGTCTTGTTTCATCTCCTCTTCACATCCTTTATGCTCTTTTCTTGTCCTCTTGAAACATTTCATTTGTACCAAAATCCCTCCTTGCTGTTTCCATTGTTGTTCCTCAATGCACATAATTGTGTATCTCAGTTCACTTTCCTCCATTTTATTACTCATTTCTAACTTGGCTACTCATCCATATGAATTTCAACAGTAACACTGAGTTCATTCCATCTGTTTGATTATTTACATACAAAAGTTTTATTATTCTTTTTTGGAGAGAAAAGGTAAAGTATTTCATTAACAGAAGACAAATAGATGCAGCCTTGCCCACTAAGGCACTGAGCAAGGCAACCACTTTGTACAACTCAGAAAAACCAAAAAAGAATTTCATACAAAAAGATTTCTATACTCCAAAAAAGAACTGGAAGGACAATTCTTGAACAGTTTGTGTGTTGCCACCCAGGAATGTAACCTTCCTCRAGTGCTCTTTAAGACTTCCTCCTCTGATCTTAACTGATTTTCAAAGTCTCGTGTTTCTTTCCGACCAGATTGATCACACCACCACTGCCGGCAACAGCTTCCATACACAATCTTGCCTCGAGGACAGACCCCAGCCCCGTAACAGATCCAATACATTTCTTAGGAGGCATGGCTGAACTTCAAAGACCTCTAACATTTTCATACAAATTACCCAACTAAATCTGCAGTGCAGGGAGATGCTTCAAATTTTCAGAATTGTTGATACATAGGACACATCTGCTTGGTTCTACTTCCCAACCTCTCTTTGTCAAATTGTCAACTGTTAAGCACTTCCCTAAGGCCGTCACCCATAGACAAAAGGAGACTTTTAGAGGAGCCACCATCCTCCATATGAGGTCTTCGGGAAAATTATCTTCCTCCTCCCTGCAAATTCTTCTGTAAAAAGATGAGGGAGAACCTACCTGATTTCTCCTTTGCCCAAATCCTTCTGTCCCCCCTTGTTCTCTCCACTCTTATCGCACTCAGGATGCATCAACTCCTCCCATTGCTCCACTTCCCGGTCATTCAGGTTCTTTCTAAAACTGGGACACCATTCACCTGCCCCTCCAACCGGAGAAAAGATCTCCGACACCAAACACACCTTGTTGATGGCAATATCAAAGAGGGTTGGGAATCTGTCCTTAAGAGGGTGATGCCCGCACCACCTCCTTCCAGAATCTGACTCTAGAACCATCTCCTACTTCCACTCTTAAACCTTGTCTGAATACCCTTTCAGACCACACATCCCATAAGATAAATTTGATTCCCTTGGGTCCCAATTTGAGTTACTTGACAAGCCAGATATTTTCTCACATTCCTTAAACCCAAGCCTCCCGCCTTTCTAGGTTTACAAGCTTTGCTTCAACTGACCAAATGGAATTTAAACTCATCCTTCCATCCCTTCCAAAGAAAATCTCTCATTGTCTTCTCCAACTTCTTAGCTGCACTAGCTGGAATGAAGAAGAGAGACAGCAAGTAGGTAGGAAGAGAAGACAAAACACTTTTTAAAAGTGTAAGTTTCCCTCCCTTTGATAGATACCTTGATTTCCAAGAGGCAAGTTTCCTTTCCATTCTTTCCATCACCGTGTTCCAAATCTATTTAAAAGTACATTTTCCCCCAAGTGGCATCGCCAAGTACTTTGATGGCAATTTTCCAACCTTGCAGCCTACAATATTTGCTGGCACTTCCAAATTTGGACCATTCCCCACTGTCATTAGCTCACTTTTATGCATATTGACTTGCAGGCCAGAGGTCACTTCAAACCAAATTTAAATCATTCAGATTTTTTCCACTTGATTTTCTGTCACATTGACAAAGAAGTATCATCGGCATACTGCAGTAGTGCTACCTCCACTTCTTGACCCACCTTGAAGCCTTCAAGTAATCCTCCTTCCACTGTCTTATTCACCATCATACTTGGGTCTTCCGATACACAAATAAACAGCAAGGGAGAGAGGGGGTCACATTGCCTTAGACCCCTCGAGATCTGAAATCTGCCTGCAGAAACGCCGTTTACCAAGATAGAGAAGCTAGCTGTTGTTATGCACACCTTTATCCAATTCCTCCACCTCCTCCCAAAGTTGAACCCTTTAAGCATGTAATCCAAATTTACATGGTCGTACGCCTTTTCCATGTCCACTTTGAGCAATACCCCCTCCTCCCCACTTCATCTTTTGGAGTCAATGAGTTCATTTGCCACTAGAACGCCATCGATAATTTGCCTCCCATCTATGAACGCTCCCTGAGATTATGATATTAGTTTACCCATCACCCCTCTCATTCTTTTAGGTAACACCTTTACAATCACTTTATAGACACTGCTAACAATGCTTATTGGTCTGAAATCTTTCAAGCCCACCGCCCCTTTCTTCTTGGGAATTAAAGCCAAAAAAGTAGAGTTTAGGCTTATTTCAAATGCCCCATTGTGATGGAACTCCTGGAAAACTTTAATTAGCTCCTCTTTTATGAAACTCCAACTTCTTTTAAAAAATTCCATTGTGAATCCATCTAAACCTGGTGCTTTGTCACCTTCCATTTCCTCAACTGTGGCTCTTCCTCTTCTGAGACTGCTTCCAGTTGGCTGGCCTCAAGCTGAGAAAGACTCTTGAAAGACAGCCCATCCAGCTTTGGTCTTCTTCTCCATCTTTCTTTATAGAGATTTTTGAAATAATTAGTTGTTTGTCTGATCCTTTCTTCCCCTTCAATCACCTCCCCCCCTTCCTCCAGCCTCTTAATAGTATTAGTTCTCCTTCTGCCATTTGCCATTTTATTGAAGAAAACTGTGTTTTTATCCCCCTGTTTTAACCACAAACATCTGGAGTGTTGTCTCCATTTAATTTCTTTTTGGAAACATAATTTGTCATAGTTTAGTTTTGCCCTTGCCGTCTTCTGTCTCTCCTCCACCCAAATAGTCCTCTCTTCCTCCACTATTTCCTTTAGGAAATCCTGTTTTCTCCTTTCTACCCCTTTAAAGGCCTGCCTCTTCCATCGTTTCAATTCAGCCTTTACATAGGAAAGTTTCTTACAAAAAACATGACTTGCTGTTCCAGTTGCTGAGTATTCCTTCCACCACCTTCTAATCGGATCCATGGAGCCTTCCTCTTCCAACCACAAGTGTTCAAATCTGAAAGGTGGCTTTGTCCATGTATACCTTGCCCCCAATAAAGGTAAATCCACCAACTCTCATCTTCTCAGAAATTGTGAGAAGCCTTGTCTACCCCTACATTTACTATTACCGCCCCTCTTCTCCGAGGAAAATCTGACTGTATTAATACCCCCCCTCCAATTACCCAAGGGAAATCCCACCTCTCTCTTATCCCGTCTAACTCAGCCCACAGGTCCTCTCTACTTCTATCCTCAGTTGGCCCATACACCCCAGTCATAACCCACTTGCAATTACATTCATAAGATTGGAACAGCAAAGACATTGAAAACATCACCACCCCCTGAATCGAGTGAGTGCAAGGGTCCCAAACAATTAACAGACCCCCAGCTGTGCCCACTGGGGGAATTGCCTCCCACTCACAGTCCCCATCCCCCCACAATGATCGCACCACCTTATTGGTCATCGCCTCCATCTTTGTTTCCCGAATGCACAGAACTGAAGGCTTGCACTTCTTCAAAAAGCCCCCAGCTACCACCCTGAGTATAAACCCCTTATATTCCAAGAAACAATTTTTAAATTGTCCATTCTCTCTCTTTTTTGCTTGTTTTTTCTTTATTTTATATTTTCCTTTTTTTTTCTCTCTCCTTTTACCTTTTCTTTTATTTTTCTCTCTTTTTTTCTCCTTTTTTTTCTTTTCTTAATTTTCTTTTTTATTAAAATTTGAAAATATTATGTGATTATACAACTAAACTTGTACAGCCTCATAAACTCCCTCATCAATTTTAGCTAAAGCAAGGCTGCTTTCTACCTGCCTTAATTTGTAGACTCCACATACAATCTATCTGTGTTTTCCCAATCCCTGGCATATGTTTCAGCCAATATATTAGCTATCCTTTCCCACCTTAACAAGATACTAAGGTGGGCTGGCAAGGATGAGAATAAGGATTCGAGTCTGAGGCAGCCACTTCGTCTGGAAAAAATCCAATGGTGAGGACCATACACAATCTATCCTTCCCAAAACCCCAGATAGCTGGGACCAACCTTGAGTTATGAATAACCACCTTTGTATCTCCATCCACCTTGAACCTTGATGAATTTAGCGATGAGCCAACCCTGAGCCTTGAAGCACTGTGCTAATTGAGTTACCAATACCATATGTCCAGAATCAATTCAGATCTCCTACCCATAAGAATCCTACCCCCACCCTACCCACCCCTCACTACAGCTGTACATTGGGAACATCTCCCCATGAATACATGCAAATACAGGAGATGTTCTTACTGTACAGCTGTAGTGAGGTGTGGGTAGGAGATCTGAACTGGTCCAGAAGCTTAAGGAAATCTCCCAAAAGCTGACAGCTATCAAGGTTCAATTTAAATGCATCAGTAATCCGTTGGTGGGGCACACCATTCCATAGAAGTGACCTTTCTTTTATGGAAGAAGTTGCCACTTCTTGTCAATTGTTCGTTTCTAATAATGTTATTGGTGGGAAAGAACCCAAATAGAGGTGACCTGTATATCTCACTATTTCCTTCTTCCCAACTAGAGCAAACAATTGCAGATCTGTGTATCTCACTATGATACTTCCCCTTTTGTTATTAGGGGAAAGAAATCTCATTTGAAATTTTGGTCCATCATCACAGGCCACTTCACCTAGCACCAAACAAAGTGAAGAAATATCTCCAAAACTGCAGGAGATCATGAAGTGAAATGCGGTTTCAAAACTGTATTTACGGAGAGGACATTTGTAAGGTGACAATGCAAAGTGGTGTCCTACTGGAAACATCACATGGGGATCTAAAGGAGAAAAAGAGGTTACAAAAAAAAAACCCACTAGGGTTAAGGATACATAACATGGTATCCTGACAACAGGTGCAACCTTTGCAGCAGTTTAATCAAAGCCGTAGCCTCTCAACCTCCCCTGTCCCTTGAGCACCCCATATATCTATGTCTTGTAATGCTTGGAGGCTTCTCCTAGAATTAAGAATGAAGGATGTTTAACATCATATTGGTTATTTGAAATGATGCAATTGGGAAAGAAATAGAGAACTTGAAAGCTCGACATGCTTGAATATGTCTTACATGTTATGTTTATGTATTTGAATTAGAACTAATAGGCTTTTTAAAACATTTTGTTTAAAATTAAAGTTTTCTTTTTTTAATTAATAATTATTAATACTTCCTTATTTATTTTGATTTTTTACATTTTTTGCATTTTTTCGAAATTATTTTAAAATTTTATGCTGCAGGCGCAAAATTCCCTTAGATCTTTTTTTGCGCCTTGCACTTTTAAAACACTGGTTCATTCTGGAAAAAAGATCAGTGATATCAGCAGGATTGAGAAAGATTATTATAAAGGTGTACTGATCAGTGAAGACTGAGGATCATGGAGACCTTAGAGATACCTAAATAGATGATATTATGAATAAGTGGTGTATTGTTGCCCTACCAGAGCTAAGATAACTCAGTTGTGGGCTCCTGGACAGGGTACAAACAAGCTAGTCTCTGATGGGTACTAATTTGGAATTCTAGGTCAATCAGGTACTGGAAAATTATGCAGAGATTCCAATTATGTAATATTTTGCTACTACTGTATGCTATGGAGCTCTAGTAACTTGTTGAGAGATGAGCGTTGTACCATTCCTCCAATGTGAAATCCTTGGGTGGGAAATTTGCCCAAGGGTCCTTGGAGGCTTGACTATCATATTATTAAAGTGTGGTCTCTGGTTGAAATATGGAATCCTTGTTCATTTTGGTTTCTCAATGTCATCAACTTGACAACTGACAGCCTTCCCAGGGAGGCTCTGGTGAGAAGTTGTTTTGGGTACCTTCATCTTCCTTTTTATTCATGTGCTTGGCCTACCTTCATCTTCCTTTTTATTTAGGGGCTTGTACTATGGTTATCTTTGGCCATTTATTGAGGAAAAGAACAAAGTCATTCTTCTTGTTAATTTCCTTCCTTTTATACTACATCAACTTTTATGTTTGTTGGTACTTCTAAGTTGATATTAGATGTCTTCTAGGTACAAAGTCTCATAGCTTAGTAAAAAAGGCGGACTTCAGGTCTAGCTATGTCCAGAATTGAGTCTGCTGCTATTCTAATTTTGTTTACCTCTACAGGAAAACACTGAGTGGATAGATTGGCATGCAAATGTCCTAATCAAGCGCAATGCTGTGGAGAATGTTTACCAATGGTCATGCGGGTATGTCTTTTTCCAAATTTGCTTTCACTTTTAATGGTATGTGATGTTATAAGGAATGCATAATTAAAGATTCTCCAATAGCTTTGTTTCAGAAATTGAGTCTTACACTCTGGATGAGAAGGTGATGATGGATCTCAAACAAATCTAGTATTTGGCAACTAGGATTATTTCATTCTCATGCATAGTAGATGGTACTCTAGAAAATGCGGCATTTTCTACCAATGCTAGGTCTTTTTTTGGGCCATGAGGCATATGCATTCCTTAATTTGAGCAAATTGTATTGTTCTATGATTGAATTTTAAATTTTTTTTAGTTTTTTCTTGCTTGTCAGTGTGATTTGCTATATTGAGAGTTTTAGCCTTTAAGGGATATTTTCCTCCACATCATGTGGTGTTAGGACTGTACTTCCTACCCTATTTTCATCTTCAATATCTTTAATTGTGTTGAAAAAAGAACAATCTAAAAACCCACAATAAAACCACAAAGATTTGTGCCATTTGGCCTCGCATAGAAAGGAAACAATTTAGTTGATTTAATCCATGTAAATAATAATAATAACAACAGCAACAACTTGAGACATTACATTTAGAATAATAAGTAAAATATCACTTGATTTATCCAAAAGAAACTAAGAACTTGATTAGTCCTTTTTGCATTGAACTCTCTTGAAACACTATTTTTCATTTTTACCTTTTTATTTGGCCCATAATTATTGAAGTGTCTTTTTCTATATGTTTTAAATTATAAAATACATTTTTTTTTGCACTAAATCACTAATTAATCATTAATACTTGAGGCTTACGCCTTTTTATACCTCAGGATAAGCCTCACGCCTTGAGGCTTAAGCTTTTAAAACAATGTTCAGGACCCCTAACACATGTCTGCTCCATTCTGACATGAAGCAATATATGACATGTCATACTTGTATTATCCTTTTTTAGCTGCTATAATATGTATTAATCCCTTGATTTATTTTGAAAGAAGTCTGTTATAAGTGGAAAAATAGTATAATTAGCAAGGATCTTAGACATGAGCATCCAATCTGATATACAATGAGAGGTTGTACATCAGAAAGTTTTGAAGTTTAGAAGCTCATCAGATTACATTCTAGTAGTTTATTTGACATGGCTTCCATACTTTGAAGCAGTTTTCTATTTTATATGCACTTCAGTCTGCTAGTAGAGTAGTCAAAACAAATGAATTCTGTCAAGGTAGGTATGCATTTGAATAGTGTACCATAAAGATATTTAACTTGGTTCTCTCCTGCAGTTTGAAAGTGACTGAAGTATGTACAACATGAAGTGTGAAATTATATGGTCTTGTCACTGTATAAAGTATTGTAGGATGTTATGATTCTTATTTTATCTACCAAAATAAGTATCATTCTGTTATATCTTGGATTTTTCTGGGATAAGAAATCATGCATCTCGATTGACATTTTCAGGAGGATGTTATGATACTTATTTTATCTACCAAAATAAGAATCATTCTGTTATATCTTGGATTTTTCTGGGATAAGAAATCATGCATCTTGATTGACATTTGCAGGAGGCCAACTGCATTACAGGACCGGACTAGGGATAGTGATGATGATGATTTCCGAGACAGGGACTATGATGTGGCAGCACTGGCAAATAACTTGAGCCAGGCCTTCAGATATGGCATTTACAGTAACGATGACATTGAAGAGGTAATAGTTAAAATTTTAAGAAATATCATTTCATTTTCATTTTTTTATTGAAAATTGGAAGGGCTATGCAATACCAGCCAGAAACCTTTGTGCTTTACCGTTTCTATAAGAACTAATACAATTTGTAATTGGCATTACCATATAATGTTTGTATTACTGGCGGGGCTGTAAGCTGTTCTCCTTTTTTTTTTGAACAGAAAAATGAGAATTTTATTCAATTAAGTGAAATAAATACAGAATTACAGCAGCTAGAAGCAGACATTGCACCAGAAGTAGTTGCAATAAAGCCCAAAAAAGCCGTTGCCCTTTAACTTCCTGTTTAGCTAGAGAATCAGCCATTCCATTTGCAGTTCTCCTGATCCATGTGAATGAGGCATTAAGTTCCCTTTCTATGCTTACTATCCCCCTTAACGGATGTCTATAGATCCAAGGAAACATTACCATTTGAATTGGTCCATGATATCACTATTTTTAGTCCCCTTCTATCTCCAAGTTCTTAAGATCTGCTTGCATGGCGATTTTTAACCCTTGTAGCAGAATAGCAGATTAGTTCAGCTTGCTTGGCAATACTTTGCTTTCGGAATCTCTGATTACACCACCATTTCTTGCCATCCCCGGGTTTCTTCTCATCACTGTGTGCCACTTAATTCCACGCTCTTACTATATCAGTGATTGAGAAATTTTGAAAGAGATACAGTGATTTTACCCATTGTGCAGCTTTTATCTTTATGGCCTCCACTAGATCTCCTTTTGACCTATACTTCTCATTGAATATTCTTGCATTCCATTCCTCCCATATTGTCTACACTACTGCTGCCCTTACTGATTTCCACATAGCCCTTCCTTTTTTGTTGGCTGCCTTAGAAAATTTGGATTGAAGAGGCTTCCTACATCCTGGGAGTACTCCACCTGCAACCAAAGAGAGAGCAAACAAAAAGCACTAAAAGGTAATAGATCAATAAATGGGGTAGGGATTCACCATCTGCAGAGCAAAAAGATTCACCATCTCAATGATTACTGTTATAAGAGATCAGAGAGACACCTGGGTTCTTGATTTAGGCAATGTTTTGGTGATTAAGGGCCCCCATATTGTATAGTCCGGATGGATCTCAATTCAATACATGTAATATTCCCATTAACCACGGACTACCCATCCATTAGTCCATTAACCAGTAGATATGCAAGATAATCCAGTCCTTTAATGCCATCAAATCTATTTTTATTACCTTTCATTACCATCATTGTTTTAGTGTTACATAACCATAGCCTAAGTTGACCAAGTTGTGGAGGCTTTGACAACCTTAGTTTACTTTTATTGTTATCTTTTGCAGGCTCATGGTTCACTTGAACGAGATGATGAGGTATGTTCAATGTAGGTTTCCTTAGTTTCAGATATTTTATTGCTGGCACAAAAATTGAGATGTTTGGAGGGTTTGGAATCCAATATTCTTCATGAAAACTTTACTCAACTTATATCCTTTCTATGGCTCAAATATCAATCAACGTGAAGATCTAGCCAGAGCCATAACCACAAACTTTGAACCCTACCATGTTGATTTTTTTTCTGGCTAGAGTACAGTTTACAGTACTCTGAGTACTCTGATGGGGAGATCATCCTATTTATATGGTTCTTGGGTGGCCTTCATAGTGTGCTCTCTCCATCTGTGTCACTGGGCCGAATATGTATATTACAGGACACAGCTATTTTTGTCATAAAATAGAGGTTTTCTTTGAAAAGCTTGGGATGAAGTTTGTAAATTATTCTAAGCTCAGCATGTGGTTGCTTTAGAAAGATAAAGTAGGTATTCTATGAATAATATAAGCAAAACTGTTTCTCTCTGTGGGATATTATGCAGGATGTTTACTTTGATGACGAATCTGCAGAAGTAGTAATATCTTCTCTACGTCTTGGTGATGATCAGGACAGGTAAATGGAAGCCCTTATTCCGAATTTCTCTTCTTCTTACTTACAAAATACCTCTGGGCTCCAGACAGAAGGCCTCCATAAATTGTCAGCCTGAGCTTATCCATCSAAAATGGTGTTTTTGAAACTGGATCAGACCTGATGGTTGCATGGGTAAAACCAACGACTGGCAGGGTATACGGGTTGGTGATTTTGGGGAATGGTTTGATGGTTCTGACTTGTTTAACCTGTGACTGAACCATGACAAATTGACAATCATGAACCAACCATCTGTCTGGTTTGGGCTCTGCTTTGGTTTTTGAAGCATTGATCTTAAATGCCTTTGTATCTTTTTGGATTCTTCAGTAGACTCATAAAAGAATGTGTAAATGTTGAACTTTTAGATAATTTGCCCATGTTGGCACTCTTTGTTTCTTCCATTTGTGATGCAAGACTTCTGCTTAACCAAAACTGTTTTGACTAATTTTGCAATTCTTGCTTTCATGTGCTTCCAGTGCCTCTCTCTTTACGAACTCCAATTGGTTTGCCTTTGAGGATGATAGAATTGCTAATGAGCGATCTACTGGCTCACTTGCTTCACCATCATCGAATGTTGAGGAGAGTGGTCTTGTTAGCAGTAGTAGTGATGACGAAGTCATTGTTGGCGAAGATGATGACTTAGTTGATACAGCAGTATCTACTCAAGTGACTGAACCAGTCTCCAATCCAGAGGATCCCAGCAATGCAGTTTCACTAAACGGTTCACTAGAGAATCTGAAGGAAGAAATAAGACCTTTGGGAAGTGACAAACAGCCAGAATGGGTTCAGTGGAGAGAAACATCTGACTCCTGTGGTCCATCTGATGTAGATCAACCTCTGGCTTTACCAAATGGCGAGGTTGGAACAGATTTAAAAGATCACATTGAGTGTGTCCAAACAGATTCAACTGGACCCTCACCATCATCTACTGATGCAATAGTTGATGGTGTTCCAACATATGCAAGTTCCAGCCCAGCTGAGCATTCAGAACCAGCTGACAAAAATCCAAGTATTGATTCAACTGCATTTGAAGATGTAGACATAGTTGAAAAGGGTGTCACCGAGGTTGCAGATCATGAGAAGAAAGCAGTTGATAATGCAGGAAACTAATTTATGAATTTATTTGGTAGACTACCTCCAGTTGAGGGGCTTGATCTGGCAGGAAAAGGATATGCAAGATGCCAGGTGGGGTCTTTGTCAGTTAGTGACTGCTGTATCTTTAGAGCCTTTGTACATCTCTGAGGGCTTCATTGTTAACTAGGTGGATAATTCTTTTCCCTACTCCGGCAAGCACAGTAGAAAAAAAAATGGTGCTCTGTGTAACTTTGAGCAAAAGGGGAAAAGGGGCATGTTTCGTTTCTGATACTGCTTCAGAGCAATATATGATTCTTCATGATTCACCGCAGATAGGTTGGTTGGTGGATGACTTCTCCATTTCATTTGCTGTTTGATCTCTTCCATTTTGCTGCATCATAAATGGGCAGTGATCCTGCTTCTGTCACTTAGCGGATGTCAATGGATGCCTTGATACAAGGACCCTCTACGTTCTTTAAAATTTCTGTTTAGAAACTGCAGAGTATGGTTGATTGTCTTTTATTTGCCTTTCAATTGAGTGTCTTGATTGCAGGTATTCGACCTGTTATGTAAACATCTCAACCATTGTATTATATATCTTAATCTAATCCAGGTTCAAGATAGCAGTTCTCATTCATTCACTAGAAAGTTTAGAAGTGCAGTTTGATGTTCCTAGACGTTTTGGTTTGAAAGGCGCTGTTTACTTTCTTCAGGGTATTCAGTGTCGAGGCGGCCTCATTGGCTCGTGGCTTTCTTCACAGTAGGTTGCAGGATAACCTCAGAATGTCTTGGAAACTAGAAGGCGTATAGTATTATGGATATTCGCATTCATATCGTAATCTTCACAACAGCCCAAATTCCAAAATCTAAACATATTTACATCTTTTGTGACGACTGACAAGGTTACAACTTTTTGTTTGATATCTTTGTTTTGAAGTATAACGCCTTCCATCTCCCGTTCTTTTTATGTGATAATCTTTTGTGACGACTGATAAGGTGATATCTTTGGTTTGGAAGGGCTCCAAAATCATACAAATCTACATCTGCTGCTTTGGGTTCTTGGGCAGCCGCTTCTCCGGCTGAACTGCTACTTGAACCACGGTATTTACATGAAATGGGTTTCTCTGGGACTTGGCCACGTATATATTTATGGGTAATAAGGCTGCATTTGGTAAGAGGCACATGCAAATTTGCAATATTTGGTTTGGTTTTGCAACGGTAAATGTGTATCGTTTTTTGGTTGCGATGGGTACAAATATGATCTGCCTTTCATTTGTACAAAAATGCCATGTAGACCTAAACCCTTTTTCTAATAGAAATATTATCTTCCCTAATCTACCGCATGGGATTGACAAAGGATCAAGTGAAGCATTTCATTGAACATCCGGACAGTAAATATGTACGCCATGTCAAGGTGAAATAAAGCATACCTCTCTATGATGGTATGACTTTTCTGAAGCAAAGGTGGAGTTTTAACCTTACGAACAGCAATGGTAGTGTAGCCAGAGAAATCTGCAACGTTCAATAAGTTGTAAGATGCCTATCGAACTAATTACATGGTAAGCACGACGAGGAAATCAAAGAAAAAGAAAAAGAAGGAAAATCAAATAAAACTTCTGTTTTGTGTTGTAGCATCTGACTTCTGCTTCCCACAACCACTTACAAGGAGCCTTTATCCAATCAACCAAGCTACTCAAAAGCACACTGTATATTGTAAGGGTTAGGGTTGACGATTTGCCCAACCATATATAAAAATTTGGTTGTACGTACATATGTATTTATGTTTGTATATCAATGATTTTTAATTTGAAGGTAAAAATTTTCCAGTATGATATAATTATGGTGCTCCAAAAGCATCATAATACTGCTAAAATCAGTAAACCCAGTAGTCAAGATGGTCACTTGGCACTTCTTCCAATTCGGTTTTCGGTTAAATCGGTTTGGCTATTTTGATTTTTCGGTTTTGGTTTTTAGAATTAGAAATTCGGTTACTGAATTAACCAAACTTTCTATTATTATATGTTATAAATAATATATACTATGTAAGATATAGTATATAATATAATAAAATTTGATTTCATAATATATACTATATATCATATGTTATAATATATATAATAAAGTATATATTATTAAAATTCGGTTTAAACCAAAATAATCGAAAACCGAACAAAAAATTTTGGTTTTTCTATATTCGGTTTTGGTTCGTTTTTTATTTTTTAGTTTCGTTTTTTAAATTTCGGTTTATTTGGTTTGGTTTTTAACCGAATGCTTACCTCTACTCGGTGGTATGGCCAATGGGTCTCACGTGCACCTTGCTCTCTCCTGCCCATGATTCCTCGTTGAGGTGGAGTATGTTATATGGAGAAAAAAAAGAAAAAAAAAACTAATCTTAAATCTAAGAAATAAGAACACTTCATCAAAATGCATCGAAGAAACAAACCAAACCCGAAACCAATCCAAGCCCAACCTAATCTAAAAAGGTAGATTGGATTAGGGTTATGTTTGAGGGCTCAATAACTTGTTAGACAGTGTATGCCCTTAGCTCYAATCAAATTGATGTACTGATACATTTATTGTAAATGAGTAAAAGTACATAATTGTTTCATGTTATAATTGGTGTGTTTCTGTGTAATTACCCTTAAACTGGACACTTATGAAACTCATGTTACTTTAGAATGTTCTTAATCATTGGATAGATTTAGGGAAGTTTATTCTGCCAAGGCTGACACTAATGTGCTGCCAAGAAGGTTAGGGCAGCTTGTCTCAACTACCAGGGTTGGACCCAAAGCACATGTAGTGTGTGTTTGTTTAAAACACTGAACCTGAACCATTTTCCAATTATGCCATGGACCTTGGAGACTAGTGGGCAAAACTGGAAAGTTACACATAACCCTTAGGCTCGATTATGGTACTCCATTGGGTGTCGGATTGGGCTGTCTTTGATATGTCAATCAGTGAGATCCTTTGGGGGTCAAAACCTGGGTATGTTGGGGCAGTCTGAGAATTCATTCAAGTGGGTGATCATAGTGACAGGATCAACTCCTTTGTCAGACAGTGAATGATTGGGACTGCACTCTCTCTGATGGAAACCAAAACTGTTGGCAGTCAATTTCAACCATGTTTGAGATTTGTTTTGCAAAATATATTTATATGATAATATATATTATGTTTTGAGAAAAAAGTTTGCAAAATGTTTTAATTCCTGTGACCCATTCGAGTAGAGAGTGCAACACTACACCTTGTAGCAAGGGGAGAGGTCTTTAAGGGTTGTTTTACCTGATGGGCTATATCTCACTTAAGTCCATTGTCCTTGGGCCTTTATAGGATGGACTATAAATGTTGGACTCAATGATGGTTGGACTCAATGATCATTTACTATAAATGTTGGACCCATTAAGAGCCCATACTGATGGACTCAGGGGTTCACTATACTTGACAGTGAATTCGGCTAGGCCATTTCTCAAAGGCTAGGTTGAACCCATATGGGCTTATGTGAAGTCATTGTTGGGGTCCCATGCTATACAAAGTGAACCAAATGGACCAGCAACTACCTAGGGACGTGAGCCACTTGCTTATTGGGCCTAAAGCCCATGATTAATTAGATTAATCAGGGTATCACATGACAACTTAAGTAGTCATGTGATTTGGGCGAATATGGGTTTGGATATGAGTCTGGATCAGCCATTAGGATAAGAGGATAAGTTTTATCCACTTATAGAGTCTAAATCCAAATAAAGATTTGGATTAGGAACCTCCTAATTCGATTAGGAGTGGTAATCCTTAAGGCTTATAAAAAGAGGAGGGTGAACTGCTCCAGTTATCATTCTGCTTTCAGTACTCTTTCTCTGCTCTTGTCGCCCCAGAAACCCTAATTCGACCTCTAGTTCTTGGACTGATATTGATCAGTTCTGGCTTCTGATTTTTGCAAGAAAATATCATAACCAATTCGTGATCACCTCCCTTGTTCGATCCAACGTGTTGGATCACAGTTTTGCTGAAAATTATGTTGCTGAACCAGCTTCAATTCAATCTGCGCCATCTTCAGTGGAAGCTGGTTTTGGAACTCTCTTTGGGCATGAACTACCACTTTGGGAGCTACATTTATGGAATCCGTATCAGGTATACTTCTCCCTTTCTTTTGATTTCAGATCTGGTCCAGTTTTGGTAAAAGAACAATCMTAGGAAAATAATTTTTTCTAAAACTAGGAATACGATTCCTAGAAGGGTGAAAGAAAATTTTTGAAATTTCGCCCAGCCATCTAGCATGGTTTGGCCATCCATATGATGGATTTCCCCTTCATAACTTAGATTGTGTTAAGGTTGACCTCAACCACACCTAGCCCAGCCCAACTTACTCCCCTAATAATAAGAGGTTGTGTTTTGTTTGCATGTAAAATGAAGAAAATAGTATAATTTCCTTCGAAGATGATATTCAATAGGAAAACAAGTATTTTCATGATTGTATTAGTGTTTCTATTAAATTGGAAAACAAATTATTGAAAAATAGACAAGTCTTGCAACACATGAATTAAGAGGATGGACCTCCACTTTATAAAGATTAGAAGGAATGTCATTAGCCCAATATGGATACTCTTGATAAAAATGTTGTTCACAGAGCTATTTTTTGTGCAACCACACACTAGGCAGACACGTGGATGCGACCAGCTGACTGGACATTGAGAAGGCACTTCCTGCCACCTCAACAGGACAGGTCACCTCGGGTACCTCGGGCACCTAGGCCAGGACCAAGGACCGAGTAGCTCGTTATGACCCGGTTTGCCGAGGTGACACGTAACAGACTTCTAGAAGCAAGACAGCTGTCTCCGAGCTCTTTGGGATCTTGTCGCATGACTATAGGCTTTATCCTCATCCCGCCCGGATCGGACGGACTCGATAAGCCTTATCGGCTATCACGAAGTCCACCTCTTGGTGCGGTATGGACTCCTAACAGTGTGGGCCAAGGATCTCGAAGGTGTTTCGTGAGACCCATGACAACTCACCAATTTAAGGGCATCTACCCCAATGACATAGGGCACATGCGATTCATTGCTCACTAGCCTACTTGCTATCAAGCTTTCAGCTCGCACACATAGAGTACTAACTTAAGCATTGGAAGTAAACCCCACCTCGGGACCCTACGGTAGGTCGACATCCATCACCACCCCAACAGGTAGTGGAACAGTGAAAACAGACACAGTGCTGCCGTCAAWGTAATCAACAACAACGATCGCGCAACAATCAGTAGCACCGTAATCATGACAACCAGCAAGTCAGCAATCAACAACCCGGAGTAAGAGGCGAGGACCCAATTCGGGAACCCTCTATCCCCCATGGCATTCAGGACCCAACACGTGTTTGTGAGAATGCCAGTAACAGAGAACAGCTCCCTCTTTGTGGAAGTGTCTGAGATCAGGAGAACACCTTGGTCGAGACTTAGGCCCAAACCGAGGTGAACATCACCAATCACGAAGTAGAAAAAAAGCGATGTCGCCGGTGTGCACACCGCACCTCAGGTAAGAACAACAACGACAATAGAGAGAAGATGGGAAGAAGTGAGCTTGATGGCTGCACATCCGGCTCCTATCTCACTGAGTCATCCTTCCCCGCTAGCACCAAAGATCCTTTTGGCCTCGAGGCC